TAAAAATTGTTCAAAACTTATATGGCTAGGCAGGTGGTCTCGATTATGGAAAGGATTTCTAAAGAATATGTTAAGATTCATTCCAAAAAAAAGATTGTTTATAATTCACTTTTGACTTTTTGGTAAATGCGAGGAGATTTTATTTTAGTAGCTTTTAAATTTTATGATGAACCATATATGGACACCAAATTAGAATTAAGTAATAATTAAAAAAATTCATTGGTTTTGAAGACTGCATTGGCTATAAAATTGAAACTTACCTTTAACTCTAAGTTTCTGGAGTGCCCTTCGATTTCATTTGCCATTTATTGTTTGGGGGAGCAGTATCTGAATGTTTGTAGGGTATGGAACGACCTTCTCAAATGCAAAACCCTATGTCAGATCCAACGATGATGACAGATATGTTAAAGGTTCTTTATTTTTGTCAATATTCTTAGTTTACTGCATTTGCATTAATGTGAAAATATTGCGAAGGAGTACTCTTCTGTACAAAGCAATGATACTGTGTTACGATAAGAACTGTTGTAAAAGAGGTATTCCTCGTTTCACTTGATATCATTATTTTACGGTATCTATAGAGTTCAAAGTTTTATAGGGCAATCTTTTAAACGTTCTGCCCATGATTATCATCGGTGGCTGGATCAATTGGACATTCAGTGGATTTTTAACAACTAGAGTTCCATTTCCTTTAACTCTCCGTTTCAAACCGATGTTACAGAGAGGTAACGTGTGAATAAGTGAGACCATTTTCTTTGTTCTTTATGACCCAACAAAAAATAGCAATAGTCATAGTTTTTTCTAGGTATCGATTTGATATCCTTAGACGCCGCTTGGGTTTCTTCTGCTTCCTGGTATTTTCTTAATGTCTTTGGCTTACGTTCTATCTATACTCTAGTCCTTGGTGAGGATAACGCGGCTGATCAGTCGCGTTTAATGGAAGAACAAATGAGTGGGGCAGCAATGGCAGTACCTCAAGATCCAAAACAAGCTTTTAAGGCTGAATGGGAGGCATTACAAATGGTATCTCACCAGTTTGTTCTAGGCAAGCAGTCGTAGCGTTTACTTGCTGTCTGGAAAAACTTTGGAAGTTCCACTTTGCGAAACTTTCTGCATTTTTTTTGAGGCTCCTTTACCTTATCATCATACAAAATACAAGAGCTGTAGTACATTCAAAAACTTGAAACTGATACCAAAAGTTATTTTTCCTTAGCACACTGAAGAATTAGGAGAAAAGGACTAATTTTTCAGTTTTTTTACTGTTATTTATCAAGAGATTGCATACATTTTATTTGAGTCTTCAAAGGCTGATTTCTTACTTTCCAGTAGCTAATGTACACGATCTGTTTTCTCTCGTGGGAAAACTGTTTTTGTTGCTTTAAAAACTCAGTCGGATTACATGTTTGTTTTTGTCCTTGACTGGTGCAATTCTTATTTTTTTTTCTTTGTGAAATCCATGGGTTAGTTTCATTTTTCATTTGTTCATTACGTACTTTCTCCTAGTCTAATAGATGTATATAAGGTTCAGCGTTATTATTTGTTGTCTCTAGTCTGCCAAGGAAACTCATTTTTACACGAACCCTTTGGGGCATGTACGTTTAATATGCTAGCTGCAAAATGCAGATTTATTCACTGTTTTTGTTGCATCATTTCTAAAGTTTCTGACCCAGAAAAAGGATTTCCGGACTGGGTTTCCAATGTTTTGCGAGAGTAATTAGAGCAAATTTATTAATGAGTCTGAGTTGCTGCAGTTGTGCTTAGATGAAACCATAGCCTCTGATTTTGTCTGTTATCCAGGTAGCGTATTTTCCTCTTTAGTCTGGTCGTTGTGGAAGTCGTTTAAAAGGTAAAGAATCTCTGTAAAAAAAAAAAAAAAAAAAAAAAAAAAAAAAAAA